GGTGGTGGTGATGATGATGACGGTGGTGATGGTGATGATGATGATGATGATGGTGGTGGTGATGATGATGGTGGTGGTGGTGGTGGTAGACTCCAAACATTTCCTGCAGCACCAGCTCTTGCCAGGCCCTCCAATATGCCATGGACTGGCCCTCTCGCTCTGACTTCTCACCTCTTTCTGTCTGTGACAAGGGACCCAACCAACATGATCACACAAGGCCATGCCTTGGGAGACATCATGCTCCCTTCTAGCTGTCAACCAACAGAAAGGAGGCTGTTGTCCTTCCTCACACAGAGCCCAGCTGGACATAGCCCGAGGCCTGAGGGCCGTAGAAGGTGGTCCTTTCACGACACCTACCTCCGCAGAATGGCTTGGAGATGTTGACCCCTGACTTTTGCTTTCCTCTAGGGACCCCCTGGAAAACAGGGACTCTATGGACCCCCTGGTCCAAAGGTGAGTGGGCACTGGCTGGTTTTGAGGGGAAAAACTCATGAGTGATGAAGGCCAGCTCTATGCTATGACTTTAGCCATGGAGAGGAGACACAGAAAGGCCAGTGGGCAGGAAGAAAACATGAGCAGAACTCAGAACTTGGAGCAACCTCATCTCTAAAAACTTCTCACATGGGCCTATTTCTTAGCTAGGATTGGGAGGATAGAAATCTCAAGTTCATTCACTCACTGACCAGTGGATGGATTCATTCATTCATGCTGCAGGCGTCTGCTTGATCTCACTTACATTCCAGACCCTCTGTCCCAGCCTTGGATAAATAGAGGTCTCTGAACAATAACCGCTCACTGAGTCCAGTCACACTTACGCTAGGGCATGGTAGCCTTTTCAGAAGGTTAGACATAGCACCCAACTCAGCCTGGGAGTCAGGGAGGCTGTGCACAGAACAGGAGCTTTTCAGCAGAACGGGAGGAGCGTACCAGGTAGAAGGAGGGGAAGAACATTCCAGGCAGGGAGAGCAAGACGGCGTGGTTGGAGCCGAGTTCTAAACAGTGAGGTATGGCTGCGGGTGCAGGGGCGGGGAGATGGGCCGGGAGAAGAGGTGGTTGGGACCACATCACGAATGATCTTGAATGTCTGGCCAAGGAATCTGGTTTTATCCTGAGGGTGGGCAGGAGCCATCAGAATTTCTAAGCAGGAAGTAACGGCATGAAAAGTGTCTTTTCAGAGGACCGCTCTGGAGTCCTCGTCAGGATCTGTGGCCACTGTCAGAGGAAGATGCCGGGGGCCGGGTCGGGGGATGGAGAGAGAGAGAGAGAGGCCAATGGCTGTGACATCATGAAGTGGCCAATCTGGATGTGACTTCCTGTCCTTGCAGGGTGATCCAGGACCTTCAGGACAGAAGGGACAGGCAGGAGAGAAGGGGAGAGCTGGCATGCCTGGCGGGCCTGGCAAGAGTGGCTCCATGGGGCCTGCTGGGCCACCAGGTCCGGCAGGAGAGAGGGGCCACCCTGGCTCCCCGGGGCCTGTAGGGAGCCCTGGCTTGCCCGGGATGCCTGGCTCCATGGTAAGGAGGGAGCCTGGCAGCCAGGGGCACGGTCCCACAGAGCAGGCAGACAGGGTGGGTGGAGCAGAGACCATTTTAGAAGCTCCTGCCGACCCTCTGAGGGAAAGAGCATGACTCCCATAGAGGTGCTTCACCTGTGTGGGGGCGAGTGGGGGAGGTTTGGGAACCCTCTCCCCAGAAAAATGCGCTGTGTTTTGCACCATTGCAGGGGGGTGAGGACCTTGGGTTAAGTACCTGTGGGAGGCTCCTAGAAGCGATGTTCCCCTCCTTACCCTTTATTTGCATAAAGTCTATTCCCAGGGGGAGAGCACCAGGCTTGGAAGTATAATTGAGGCAGGTTTTCTTTGTTTTCCTCAGGGAGACATGGTGAATTATGATGAAATCAAGAGGTTCATCAGACAAGAGATCATTAAAATGTTTGATGGTAATTGGCAGCTGGCTGGGCGGCGGTGGGCGCTGCTGGCCCTTCCCAGCTCTTTTTCTACCCTGCCCTGGCCTCCTTTTCCTTCAAACTCAGTGCCCCTCCCCAGGCACCCACCACCCCCCTCCACTTACAGGCATATGTTCAGTTAGACGTCAGACCTTCCTTATCACCTGCTCGGTTCAGAGATAAAATGACTCCCCACCCCCACCGCCCCCACGCTCCCTGAGCCCCCACTGGCGCAAAGGAGACAGACAAGAAAATTGAAATCAAACGAGTCTGCATGAAGTGAGCTCTAAATAGAGGGGCGAGCAGCAACCGTAAGAGAGCTGGGGTGGTTTCACTTTTAAGCTTTTTTCCTGTTCATCTGTTCATCCAGCCTTGCCATGCTAGGGCCTGGGGAGAACAGGGACCCTGTCCTGATGGGGCTAGTCATCTTGCTTGGGGAGTGGAGTTTGAATGCCAAGCAAGGAGTCTGGACTTTATTGTGAAGCCAGTGGTGCACTAATGAGGGTGTCGGAGGGGAGGGAGGCCATCGTCAGGTCCGTGCTCCCGAGAGACCACCGTGCAGAGGAAGGTGGAGGCGAGGGCACGAGAGGCCACTCAGGAGATCAGCCCCTGTGTTCCCTGCACTGGGAAGCAAGGCCATTTGGGACTTGATGCTGGCAGCCCCTCTGCCCGGTGTGAGGTCCCGGGGCACCCTGTGACCGGTCCCTGGCCTTTCTTACAGAGAGGATGGCTTACTACACCTCCAGGATGCAGTTCCCCATGGAGATGGCTGCAGCTCCAGGACGCCCAGGGCCCCCAGGGAAGGACGGTGCTCCAGGCCGGCCGGGCGCTCCGGGGTCACCCGGACTCCCTGGTCAGATCGGCAGGGAAGGACGGCAGGGCGTGCCAGGAATGAGAGGTAGCTCTGCCCTCCAGCTCCCCAGGCGCATTTGGAACTCTGGGGGCAAACAGGAGCATTGCGTGAGGTCTATCATGACTCTGACATTCAGCATTGCGTGAGGTCTATCATGACACATGTGCATGTGTGTGTTTCAAATAATCTGCCTGGGCGTGTCATTTTTCTGCTCAGGAATAGGACTTATTTTATTTCTTTTGTCCCAGGATTGCCCGGGACCAAGGGTGAAAAGGGGGACATTGGTGTCGGCATTGCAGGAGACAATGGTCTTCCCGGCCCCCCAGGTAGGAAGAGCCAGAATGTGAGAGCATGAATCTTGTAGAATGTTCCTTCTACAACACAACGGATTTGTGTAGAACCTCAAATAACTGCAGGCCTATCAGCCACCATTTACATTCATGCCAGGGTGTGCAGAGGGGGGAGTGGAGGACCCAGGGCCCGTCCTCAAGTCCTAAACCAGGCTAGCGGGACACAGGGAAAGGTAGTTGGATATGGTGGGGCCGGGGAAGGTGAGTTCAAGTCCTGCTCAGCATCCTGGCTGTCCAAACTTGACAAGGTCACTAAGTCAGCCTGTAGAGCCTGAAAGAGAAGTGACCATAGCCTGCCCGCCTGGCTCTGAAACCCAGCCTCACTGAACGGCCTACCCCATGTGGGCAGCCTCTCTGAGCCTGCATCATCATCTACAACATGAGATGATAGTTTCTTTCTCATTGTGAAGATTCATTAAACTATGCATCAAAAGCACTCGCCTTGTGCCTGGCACACAGAAGCTCCCAATAAAACTGGCCGGTATTGTTGTTGTTATTGTTACGTTAACATAAGGATCAGATCAGGTCTTCTCGAAAACCTGTTGTAACCTGACAAATATTTATCACATATAAGGTATTATTTACCACGACCACGATTTTTTCTTTTCTTGTCACCTGGGTCTCTTGACCTTCCTTCTTCTGACTCTTCTCCCCCACCTACCCCCCAGGTCCTCAAGGCCCTCCAGGGTATGGCAAGATGGGCGCCACTGGACCGATGGGCCAGCAAGGCATTCCTGGCATCCCTGGCCCCCCGGGTCCCATGGGCCAGCCAGGCAAGGCTGGCCACTGTAACCCCTCTGACTGCTTTGGGACCATGCCCATGGAGCAGCAGTACCCACCCATGAAGAACATGAAGGGGCCTTTCGGCTGAAATCACCAGCTCTGTCAGATGAAGGACTCCATTGGGAACATTTGGCTGAAACTTACAGGACTCTGTGATGGGTTGTGAATGTTTTGTTTTTCTTAATTGCTATTAATATTTTTTTATCAATAAATGAACAAAACTACCTGCAACCCCACTTCCACGGGGTTCTCTGCTGCTGCCACTGCCTCTCTGTTATCCCCCTGTCATTTGGGCCCAGGGTCAAAAAAAGGGCCTTTCTCTCGTGTCTGCGGTCAACTGGCAGAGCTGTGGGATGCTGCTGTCGAGGGTGCCCCCAGCTCAGCTCTCCTCTCTAGATGCTTCTGAGTCATGCTTTGGTCCCCTGTGGACCTTGTGTCCTGCCCTTTGGGGCACACTTCTCAAAGTGAAAGAAGGTGTCACACAGCCTGTCCCCATAAATGAGCCAAAGGCAGGTTTGAAGGCCCCACTTACGGCTCATAGAGGCCCCTCCCTGGTTGCTTCCCCAGAGAAACCGGTGTTTGGTACTTCTTGAGAGTGGCCCAGAGCCGATCCAGGGTGCACCTGGGGAAATGCCACCCCGAGTGGGGGTGTAGTCACCTGCCTGCCAGTGTCTCCAAGCGAGCAGGCTCTTCTTGCTGCTCCAGTAATTCTGTCATTAGAACGTCTGTGCAAACAGGAGAGATAGGCTTCAGCTCCCGGCCTACGCAACCAGGGACGGCTTCTCCAGGAAACGAAATGGAACTCTCTGCCTGTACCAGCACACAGCCCTGTCACCAGCTCTCCTGGACTGCAAATGGCGTCTTTTGTTAAACTTTGTTCATCCAGGGTGCCTGGGTGACTCAGTTGGTTAAGCAACTGCCTTTGGCTCAGGTCATGATCCTGGAGTCCTGGGATCGAGTCCTGCATCGTGCTCCCTGCTCGGCGGGGAGTCTGCTTCTCCCTCTGACCTTCTTCCCTCTCATGCTCTCTCTACCATTCTCTCTCTCTCTCAAATAAATAAAAATCTTTAAAACAAACAAACAAAAAAACAAAAAAACTTTGTTCATCTAATGCGTGTGGTGCTTCTCCTGCACATCTTAGCCCAGGCCTTCAGAAACAGGGTGCATCGGTGCAAAGGGGTCACGGGCAAGCCATGATCAGATCTAAGCTCAGGGGTCTTCAAAGTCCACTGGGAATTTGGTGATCTATCTTCTATCTCTTTCTCTATATATAAAGAGGTCAGGAAGAAAAGGGAGGGAGGGAAAGACAGCAAGTTGAGTATTATGGAAACATTCCATCTCAAGCCTCTTCCTTCTGTCATTTTCACATCTCTTGTCCTGATGGGCTGGCTGCCCTGTGAGAAAGCAACAGGGCACATCCAGAGGGACTTCTAAAGAAAGCCTTTTTACTGGTCCCAGCTTTCTGGAAGGTTTATTCAAGTTGGATAAACTTCAAAGAGATCACAGAGCAAGCTCAGAAATGCACCCAGAGTCTAGATGCTTATCCAAACTGCCTGAAGCCTTCCAACTGGCTGCCATCTCTTCAGAGCCGGCATTTCCAGCACAGTTCTGAAAATTCCCTTCTCCAGTTGGGCCCCGGATACCAGGAGACCAGCCTACTCATGGCTTTTCAGAACCTTTGCCCTATTTTCTTCCTGCCAGGAGCAGAGGTGTGCCAGTGGCCAGGGGAATGACATCGGGCAGACTCCCAAGCATGCCCGAGTATCTCATGTGATGCTTTTAGATCAACGGGGCGTTGCTTCTTATTTTGTCCCTCATCAGCCATTCTCAGTTAACTCTGGTTCTAACATCCAACATTAAAAAGCAAATGCATCATCTTTGCATTGAAGTAGCAGCCAGTTTTGGACGGTGGGTGAGACAGATGTTAAAGCATTCCTATTGGAAGGCCAGCTCCCACTTCCAGCCCCAGTCTGCGAAGTGCTGACGATTGGCGGCGTGATAAAGAGCACATGGGCATGAGTAGAGAAGGAAGCAAGGACCAGCGGTTGGATCGAGTGGGTTGGCTTTGAAGGCCAGAGGGGACTATCACTATGGGTAAACATCAAACTCCTACCCTTCGAGGGCCACCAGGGAATCGATCCTTACACAGTAAATGACGCTTTCTTCACTTTTCTTCCTGAGTCACATTCATGCAGCTCTTGGGGGAGTCAACAGGCTGGTTTAAGCTTTCATGATTTGAGTGCTTGTCTCTCTGGAGTTTGGAACGGTTGTATTTTCTTGGACCATGAAGAACCAGATGGAAAGCTGAATTTTATAGTCTCTTCTGTTACTGTGGTCAGCAAAAAAATCCACGGATTTTGCTCATAAGTTCAGGAGCTGGGTAAGCTGAAGAGAAAGGAAGGAGGGGCGCAAGCTTCAGGCAGCTTTCTCACATTCCTGCCATGTTATTCTTTGGTCTTCATTTCTTAGTATATTCCAGGCTGTAAAGGCAGCATACAGATCATTCAGATCGGCAAAATCTAACCTGACGAGTCCGTTTTCCTCTCACTGCTTTGTGCCAGGAACTGTAATAGGCTCTGGGGAGTCAGAGGCAAACAAGATGGATCTGGCCCCCACCCCCACGGTGTCTACAGCAAGAGCAGGGAGTTAAACAAGCAATTACAATAAAGTGGGATGGTTGGGCAGTACCAGGCGCCAGGGGAGCGCAGGGCTGAGGGACCTAACCTTGTCTAGACACAGATCGATGGAGGCGGAGGGAACACCATGTGCCAAGGTCCAGAGGTGGTTAAGCGCAGCATGCTGAGTGACAGGGGCACAGTGCAGGGGTCAGTGTCGTTTGTGGCTGGAATACAGAGTGTGAGCAGGGCAGGCAGTGGGAGGCAAGGGTCTTCTGCAAGGGGGTGTTGGTCAGGTTTGCCTGCTCACTGACAGCAAAGTGAAAAAAGTGGTTTGGAGGATCCTTAATTTGAGAAACCCTCTGCTCTGTAAGAGGAAGAAAAGGCTGCTGCAGATTTATTCTGCAGAAAAAATCCCAAATCTGATGCCTTCTGGAATTTAAATCTTCCCATTTGTCATAAGAGTTTCCCCTGTCACCAGAATTCAACAAAATCTAGCCGCTTTCTTCACATGTGCCTTGTTAACCCCTTATAAGACTAGATCTTCTGGTGTGGTCCTGAATAATTTATGGGAATAGAATATATCAATGTACTCTCTGTATGATCCCATGATGGAAGGGGAGTGTGGCCAAAGTGCCACGTCTGCTGTTCTCATTTTTCTGTTGGTTCTATGGAAAGCTGCAAATCAACCTCTCATCCACAGCATCCAACTGCAATTTAAACTTCAGAACTGGATCTAGTTGGAATCAAAGAGAATTAATTCCACAATAATTAGGTGGCTGTTGCTATTCCTTCTCAGTAAGCAATACTGGAGCTTGGAGCTGATCCAGGATGCCTGGGAGGAATGATGTGTCCCTAGGGGAGGTGATATTTTCCAGCGGATGGACCTTCCATTACCAAGCTCTGCCTCACCTCTAATGGCTTCCATGAACTCAGGAAAGTGCTCTGTGCTCTAAAAAGGGCCGGAATCCAAGTTTTCCCCTTTGGCTAAAGCTGAAACAATAACAGGAATTTCCCACCCACCTCTGTCTGCCTCAGGTAGTTGAGGTTTTGGAAATGAGTTGACTGTTTTTCAGTCTTTGGAATTCCTGATCTCCCTGTTATCCAGCCTGCTCCAAAATAAACACACCTGGGCCTGCCCCAGGTCCTCAGAAACACATCCCTGGATGTTGGCTTTGGCTAGTTTCAGTGCCTGAGAGATGACTTACATGCTCTTGCTTCCAAAGTGCACAGATATCCAACAGAACGTTCTCCTAGGAGCCCTTTGCTGGGCAGAGGGGGCTAGGGGGGTGAGATTTTCATAGAAATTTAATCCTCAGCACTTAGAATAGAGCCTGTTAAGGGGGTGGGAACTCAATAGGTTTAATATATTTGTGGAATAAAATGTGCATCACATGACCCCAGTTTGTAGTCTGGGGCTCACCTATTTTCTCTCCCAGCAGATACCCCTTGACCTTCAGCCCAGACTATAAGACTTCTTCCTCTTTGAGATTTTGCAGTGCAATTCTACCTACTTTTTTTGGGTGGGGGGACTGGGTAGGGGGTTACAAAGGTAAAGACAAGACTACTTAGTAGTTAATCTATTGAGTAGTTAAAAGATGTGGACCTGGGTTCAAGTCCTGACCTCTCCATTTATCTTTTTGCTGGTAGGGAAGTCACTTAGCCTCTGTCAGCCTCAGCTCCTCATTATAAATGAGTAGTAATATCTATCTCAAAGTACTGCGATGGAAATGAAACAACGCATTGTACTTAGTACAACATCGGGCACCTAGTAAGAATTCAATACAGGACGACGACGACAACAATGATGACAATGATGATGATATCTAATAACATTTATTAAATTCATGCCAGATATTATTCTAGGCACTGGGGATATAGGAGTGAATAAGAAGAGGACAATGCTACAATATACATTAAACTTTAAAGAGGACAATTCAAGTACTGACAAGTACTATGATAAAATGAAACATTGTAACATGATAGATGACTAGAATGTGGGGGGGGGGCAATGCTACTTTAGATGTGGTGTCAAGGAATGCCCCCCGCCCCGAGGTGATATTTGAATCGAAATCTGGATGGCAAAGAGGAGCCAGCCAGGGAAGACCCAAGGGAAGAGCATTCCAGGAAGAGGGAAGAACTCACCGAAAAATCTGGAAGTGAGAATGTGCTCAGTTTCACGGGTGGAGACCAGGCCAGCACGGCTGGAGTGAACTGAGGGAGACAGCAGGCACAGGAAGTGAGGCTGGAGATGCAGGCAAGGTCTTGGTCACATGGGGCCATGAAGATCGTAAGGCTGAGTTTAGATTTTATTGTAAGAGTTATGGGAAGGAAAGTAAGCCCAGGAACAACATGATCTAATTTACATTTAAGACAAGCACTTAAATTTACATTTAAGACAAAGCACATTTAAGACAAGGGACACCTGGGTGGCTCAGTCGTTAAGGGTCTGCCTTTGGCTCAGGTCATGATCCCAGGATCCTGGGATCAAGCCCCACATTGGGCTCCCTGCTCGGCGGGAAGCCTGCTTCTCCTTCTCCCACTCCCCCTGCTTGTGTTCCCTCTCTGTCTCTGTCAAATAAATAAATAAAATCTTTAAAAAAAAGATTTTTT